CCTTTTCCGGAGGATCTTATTCCTACTTCAAAGTAGGAGTCCGAACTAGCGGACATTTAAAAATGGTGGCGCCCGGCAAGATGCAAATGAAGCCCGGGAAATTCAAATCCCGGGCTTCATTTGCAACTTCGGTTGCCTACATTAACCACCCTAGTTCGAACTAGGGTGGTAGTGTAGACATACCCTGCTTGACAAAGCCGTGGCTGGGTTGATTTAGTTGGGGTTGGTCCTGCCTTGGGCAGGGGGCTGGACTTGATGACTCCTAAGGTCTCTTCCAGCTCTATGACTCTCTGATTCTACATGGGTGTGCTACTCCCAAAGCCAGCCAGATAGCCTGTGTTTTACTCTTCAGAGCACCTTACCACACCGACTTGAGCCAACAAAGTGTGTATTTGCAGTCTGTGTTGGAGGAGAGGCGTTGGGTAGGATTGAAAGTGAACTAGTTATGTTTGTGCCAAGTTAGGAACACTAGATGGTGCTGTGGGGTTACAAAAATACCTTATCCTTTTGTGTAGACTAGAGATAGAAATGTAGCCGTGTTAGTCTGGTGTAGCAGGAACAAAAAACAGGACTACATAGCACTTTAAAGACCATCTTGTTAGTCTTTAAAGTGCTATATAGTCCTGTTTTTTATCCTTCTGTGACATCAAAGTAGGCTTCCAGTGTCACAGTGGGCTTGTGCTGGTGATGTGAATACCAGAGCTAGAACCAGTTTTACCATTGGTCTGGGATCAGAGGCTGGCACCATTTGGATAATTTTTCCTACTGAAGCTATGGCCCGTATGCCTCTCCTTGGGCACTAATTACTTATAGCTGCCTTTCATCCCAGGGAGTTTTAGAAATAGTATCTCCCAGCTCACCATTTCCCCTGGGAGGTGGTCCTTACAGTCACCATTTTACTAAGAGGGAAACTGAGGCACAAGGCAAGGAAGCAATTTACCCAGCATCACACAGTGAATCAGCAGTCAACCTGGCAGTCATGTCAAGAGTTCTGCTTCCCAGTCTTCTGTCCCAACCCAGCTCCAGACGTGGCCTCTCAGTTTCCCTGGCCAGGAGATATAGGCAAAATTCCTCCCCTCGTGTTCTCTCCAGGCTCCATAGAATGGTGGTCCTGGAGGCAGAGAATAGAGAAGCACCTGGCTGGGATCTTAGGTGACTGAGGGTATGTCTACACTACCCTCCTAATTCGCGTTGACTACACGCGGCACGGAGTAGCTAGTTCGGATTAGGTTTCCTAATCCGAACTAGCTGTACTCCTCATTCCACGAGGGGTTCGAACTGCTGGCATTTAAAAATGGCGCCGGCCGGCTTCATGCAAATGAAGCCCGGGAAATTCAAATCCCGGGCTTCATTTGCAAGTGCGGTATGCCTACATTACCCTCCTAGTTCAAATTAGAAGGGTAGTGTAGACATACCCTGAGGGACAAGAAGAGAAGTTAGGATGGGGCTTCTGAGGTTCATTCAAAAGTGAGAATGAATAACATTCCTCATTTACCTTGCAGAAGAGAAACTCACCTCCCCCCCAAATCTGTACAGCTCCCTGCAGTAGAACCTCACTTTATTGCATTCACTATGGGCTTTTCCTGTTCTCTTCATGTGCTGGGGGAAGACCAGCAGCTATTGAGCTAGGATGCATAAAGATGATTCCACACGTTCCGAACCCCTTTCATCTGCACATGTTGGATGAGGTTATATTTAGGGTTATCTGCTGCCCATCACCACTGGAGAGTGTTGCACATAAAATGTGAGGTTACAAAGTGCTGAACAAGTGAATCAAATTGTGCATGTGTGGGAGCCATTTCCATCACTGAAGCTTGGCACAGCAGTCAGTTCTTGCGGGTTTTAAAATTTGTTTTTGTTCCGCGTTGGAATGAAACCAAAACCTTTGGAATGTCCAAAAATGGAATTAGGTCAAAACGTCCGTTTTCAGACCTAAGCCTAGGTGTGGCACAGACACTGTGGGTATGTCTACACTACAAAGTTAATTCGAACTACCAGCCATTAGTTCGAATTAACTTTCATATGCGCTACACAGGCAAACCGCTAGTTCGAACTTAATTCGAACTAGCGTAGCGCTTAATTCGAACTAGGTAAACCTCATTCTACGAGGACTAACGCCTAGTTCGAATTAAGTAGTTTGAATTAAGGGCTGTGTAGCCACTTAATTTGAACTAGTGGGAGGCTA